CCTTGTAAGAATATAAAGTGGGAGAGAGGGTAAATAGCGTTAACGTGCTGACTTTAATCTTATTTCTAACTTTTTTTCTGATTTACGTAGGAAATGAATTAAAGACAACTCAAGTGTCTGTTAGAGAAAAACTAAGTGTGAAGGCTTCAGTTTCAAAAAAAGCAAAAAGGTCAGTTATTTGATTTCCTGATTTGATTATTTCTTCATTATTATTATAAGAATCTTTATAAAAGTAAGAACTGCTGTATTTTGTTTGTGGACTTGACTTTTACTTGCATATAATAAAATTGAGACATCGATTGATTGATTGATTGTATACTGTTTAATGTCCCTCTCCAGAATATTTCACTGATATGGAGACGTCACCATTGCCGGTGAAAGGCTGCAAATTTAGGCCTATGCTCGGCACTTATGGCCTTTGAGCAGAGAGGGATCTGTATCGTGTCACACCTGCTGTGATACGGGGCCTCGGTTTATACGGTCTCATCCGAAGGACCGCCCCATTTAGTTGCCTTTTACGACAAACAAGGGGGTATACTGAGGACCTATTCTAACCCGGATCCTCACGGGGCGATAATATCCCGATTGTGACATTTATATTGTACCCCTACCAAACCAACAACCTTGGTACATCTACGATTTGACTTTAAATGTGAATTTGTTCGTTCTATAGGTTTAAGTGTATCATTAAGAATATTACGTTTTTAGTATTTTGAAAATATACGTCTAACGCAAAATTACTTGACATACTTTTACTACAGTAAATGCATATCTGGCAAAATAACAACTAAGTCTTATGATATACTTGATTACTTCAGGAGTTTAATATTATAAGAGTCCAACCAATTTTGCTGATATTGTACAAAGTTGCAATTTCTATGGTAGATCATGCACTTGTTTTGCAAAACCATTTGTTTTCTGTGTTTTATTTATTTTGAATTAAAGTACGGAATGAAGATATGTTTTTAAAGGAGGCTCATTATATTACTTTTTGATGACGAACTATTGTACACGTAACACTATAATATGACTTTGGCCTTTAAAACGCTTTAAAAATAGATAAAACATGCGGTGTTATAAACAGTGAAAACAAAGTGACGGATTCATTATGCATAAACTAAGAAGAATTGCTTTTAAACAGAAACAAAAGAAAACAACAGTAAAATATTCGCCAAACAAGTAACGACAACTTCATAGCGATGCATATAGTGAGCTCTATCAATCAATGACATGTTTGTATGGAGGAAATTCGAGTTAAAATCTACAACCTTGTTGAAATTAAAAAGTTATTAACTAGCACTATATACTGTGTTGGTGTAAATTTATATATTTGCTTTAATGATTTAAATGTATACTCTGGCAATCTAAAGCTTTGTTCTGAAGTTTAGATATAATGTTAAACGTTCCTTAGTGTTTTGAGTCTTGGGCAATTAGGAAAGATAACTGTTGAAAGTGGATTTAAAAACGTCTAAATGACGACGCAAAATTCAAATGTATTTTTCTTGCAGTGTGAAATTAAAATCATTGTTATTACAGTGAAGTACTTTTTGAGAAATTGTTAAATTTTAGCAGTGTGGAATTGAAAAGACTTGAGTATGTAAATTTGACAAGTCCAATCTACGTATTCATTAAGTATATGCTCTAGATATCTAGGATGAATGTGTGTACGTCATATTTTGATATAAAAAAGTTCACCCGTGTTTGACTTCAGTTTGTTTTATACAAAGAGGACAGCACTGTGTAGGCTAATATCAAGAGACTTCATGGCAGATAATGTCAGTATTTTCAAAAAAAAAGATAGAGATGATTATTTCCTATGTAGCTTGTAACAAGAGTTTTGATTGGTTACAGAGTCGAGTGTAAATTTCTGTGCACCTCGCCTGGTGTCCTGTCTCATCCTTGCCAAGGTAGGAGAACCAGGTGAGTTACATTCTATGCTTTCCTTTGATTGGTCAGAACAATGCGCGCTAAATCATGGGTTATTGAGCCCTTGCCGTTAACTACGGATATAAATATTGACGTAACAATGACATTACATCAAAGCTTAGAAAATTTCGCCCCGAATCCATTGTACTCCACGTGGCCCTAGTGACGTGGAGTATATGGTGCATAACATGGACAGGGAACCAGGCTACGTGCACCCGACTTGAGCTGGGGGTAAATAAAACATGACGTCACAATACATACTTTCTCCATAACCAAAAAAATATGACGTCATGATGCATTTAAGTACATAGTTATTTTATCATTAGTTGATTAGACTGATGTTTCCAAAACAAAAATTATGGGTACAAAGGAAATAAATTCGTTATCCAGGTTCAATCAAGGGTGTACGGTGATTTACCCAGGGTTGTAACATTCTATAAACCTTTCGGCCTCAGGGTGTATGGAATAAAACTTGGGGATAAATACCCCTATACACCCTTGTTTGGACTTTGACAACTAATAATGATCACAAAAATAACCTACAAACAACATAAATCTGAGAACAGACTGTAACACAGAGACCCTTGGAATTTCTTAAGGTGGGATCAGGTACCTAGGAGGGGTAAGTATCCCCTGTTGACCGGTCAAACTCACCGTCATCATCCCTATGTCTTTATCAAGTAGATGAGACATATCATTACAAACCAATGATTAGGTTATATGATAACAATGTCATTATGATAACCATATAATTTACAAAACTCGTACCAAAGCTGAACACGACTCATTAGATTGAGACACTGTTATTTAGACTGATGTTTCCAAAAAAAAAATTATGGGTAGGAAATAAATTCGGTATCCAGGTTCAATCAAGGGTGTACAGTGATTTACCCAGGGTTGTAACATTCCATAAACCTTTCGGCCTCAGGGTATATGGAATAAATGCTGGGGGATTAATACCCCTAAACACCCTTGGTTGGACCTTGATAGCTAATAATGATCATAAAAATAACCTACAAACAACATAAATCTGAGAACAGGCTGTAACACAGAGACCCTCGGAACCTCTTAAGGTGGGATCAGGTGTAGATAGAATGTTCTATCGTTAAAATGATATTGTCCTACGGATCCCGTTTTGTGTGAGGGTTTGTACCGAAACACAGTTAGATTATTCTAACTAGGAATCAGGTACCTAGGAGGGGTAAGTATCCCCTGTTGACCGGTCAAACTCACCGTCATTATCCCTATGTCTTTATCAAGTAGATGAAACATATCATTACAACCCAATGATTAGGTTATATGATAATATAATTTACAAAACTGGCACTGAAGCTGAACACGACTCGTAAATAGGCAAAAGCCATTATTGTAAGTTTCTTTGGCATCTTACTTTCCTGCATTGTTTTTTTTTCACTACGGAAAACTGTATAGCATGCGCCCATCTCAACCTGTGGCTACTTGCCTTTTAACAGTAACTTAGTCAGCCACTTTATTTAAGGAATGAAGCTTATTTCAGCTTATGTTATACGATATAACATAACTTGAGGCAGTTTACGCTTTATAAACCGCGAAGCGGTTTATAAAAAAGCGTACGGCCGCGGTAAATTGACCCAAGTTATGTTATATCGTATAACATAAGTTGAAATAAGCTTCATTCCTTATAATTTAATATCAGTATATACAAATGATACAATTTTTCCTCCGTGCACTTTTGGGGCTGGGGGGGATAGGTGGGTCAACTGAGTGCAGCCCCTGGAGGGGATAGGTGGTTCAAGGGAGTGCAGCCCCTGGGGGGGATAGCCGGGTCAGGGGAGTGCAGCCCCTGTGGGGGATAGGTGGGTCAAGAGAGTGCAGCCCCTAAATGGGGGTGTGATGTGTGTACATATAACTAAATATTTTTATACACTGTTGCATCATACTGTGCGATAGATCACATACTTTTTATACCTGTTGCATCATTTTTTTATGCTGACTACACAGGAATTTGGCAGCGATTCAAGTTTGTTTAGGGCCGTGTGCAAAAAATATGCTTACCTATGCATTGTGACGTCATCCACTGTATAAATACGGCTTTTCTCCTACTTTCAGCTCATTCTACAGTCAGATCCAGCTCCCTGCCTGTGGGGGGTCATGGATTCTACTAGAGAAAAACAGTTACATGCTCAGCGATTATTAGAATGGAAAAAAAGGGAAAGAGAATTAGAACGAATTCTTTATGAGAAAAGAGAGCAAGAGTTAAAGCTCCGGGAAAAAAATGCTAAAATATTACAGAGAAGAGCTCAATTAGAACAACAACGACAACAACAACTACAACGACAACGACAATTACGGGAGAGAGAATTAGATCAAATTCTTGATGAAAATAAAGAGCGAGAATTAAAGCTTCGGAAAAGAAATGCCAGACTATTACAGAGAAGAGCTCAACTAGAAAAACAACGACAGCAACAGCAAAGGACTAGGGCGCATGAGGGGTCAAAGTTACCTATTCATTCACCACCCAAACCCAAGGCCATATCCCAGTATTATCGAGTCACAGTGAATGAAAGGGTGCACTCTAGAAAATTTAAAGCTCAAGAGGATTTTTACACTGTGATTTTTAAGGAGTTTCCAGAGGAAGAAAACAGAGGATTTGTTCGGCGATTATTCAGACACATGTTACAAACTTTCAAATCGAAAATGCAGTGTAATCCTAACGATTACCTCCGCCTGAACATACGCCACAAATCTCTGGAATCAGAGATTTGGTACGAGTTTACTCAATGTAAACATTTTAACGAGGACGTCATTTTAGACAAGATTGAAGCCGTGCAACAATCCAGAAAGGAGTTCAAACTGGGCGACGGGGGCATGGAATTTGATATGTTTCGGGTCAAGTATCCCGAGGGAAGTGGTGGAGACAGAAAACCAAACATTTACAAGTGAATAAGGAGACTTTTAAGAACAATAAAAGAGCCATCGTTCGGATCGTCAATCCCTGGGATAAATTTTGTTTAGCTAGAGCCATCGTCGTCACTCGATTACACAGTCAAAAACCCGAACATCCAGACCCCGAATGGGAAAAACAATGGAAACGTATGCGGAAGGAGATAGGTAAAGCCAATGACCAGAAGAACCAAGCCATAGCCCTCATGGAACAGGCCGAGTGTGATATTTCTCAAGCTTGTGGATATGCAGAGTGGACGAAATTACAAGAGGTATTAGCTCCTCAGTATCGACTGAAAATATTTCAGTTCAAGTCTACTTCGACTAAACTCACCTTAGAGCGCATCTTCAAAGGCTGGGGAGATGGAACTTGTTTGAACATTTTGTTAGACGACCATCATTACGATGCCATCCTATCCATGCCGGGAGTGACGGGGAACCAATATTACTGTGATCATTGCGACGTGGGGTACAGGAATGTCACAGACCATCGCTCCAAGTGTCCTCATCGCTGTCCCTATTGTTTAGGACAACACCCTAAATGTCCCGATGAAGGGATCGAGATTAAATGCCAGGAATGCCATGGAATGTTTAAGAACAGGACCTGCTACGAAAATCATTTAAGACCCCATAGTAAGAAGACCACCACTACTGTCTGCAATTTAATGGAACAATGCGAGAAGTGTCAGTCCTGGATACCTAAGAAATTATTCCCTCATCACAAGTGCGGAGGACAGAAACAGTGTAAGATCTGTAAGAAAATCGTCGATACCGATCATCAGTGCTACGTACAACAGAAGCCCCAGAAGAAGAAGAAGGGGAAAGACACCTTACAGTTTTACATCTATTTCGATTTCGAATGCACTCAGGAAACCGGCATTCACATCCCTAATCTGTGTGTGGCACACCGCGTCTGTCAACATTGCAGTCACTTACCCATAGACCAACCCTGTCCTCATTGTCAACACATGGGACCCCGTCAGCACCTATTTCAAGGACCAGACACCTTAAAGAAGTTCATGGACTGGTTATTACAACCCACTACAGGTACTAAGAATTCCACTTTAGTACACGACGAGGCCATCGTCATCGCCCATAACTTCAAAGGCTACGACGGACAATTCATTTTGAATCACCTGGTGCATTCCTCTTGCCTGAAACCTAACGTCATCATGAACGGCAGTAAGATCTTGTACATGGAAATATGCGGACTGAAATTCATCGACTCGTATAATTTCTTACCGTTTGCATTGGCCAAGATGCCCTCCGCTTTCGGATTCGACGAATTGAAGAAAGGCTATTTCCCCCACTTTTTTAATACGGAACAGAACCAGAATTACGTAGGACCTTATCCACCGGCAGCTTTCTACAATCCGGACGAAATGTCTATCAGTGGACGACGGGCTTTTTTTGAATGGTACGAACAACAGAGGGGAAAAGTGTTTGATTTCCAGAAAGAGTTTGTAGAGTATTGTGTCTCGGACGTCGACATTTTACGCCGATGCTGTGCAAAGTTTAGAGCCACCCTCAAGAGTTTGGTCAATGTGGACCCTTTCCAGGAATCCATCACTTTTGCCAGTGCTGCTAATTTAGCCTACCGTCGACAATTCATGCCTGAAGACACCATTGCCATCATTCCGAACCTCGGGTATCAACCGGCACGACAATATTCGGCTAAAGCCTGTCGGTGGCTCACCTGGATGAGTCAACAGACTGGATGTCACATACAACATGCCAGAAACGGGGGCGAAGTCCAGATCGGAAATTATACCGTCGACGGATACCAGGAAGCGACTCGCACCGTCTACGAATTTTACGGGTGCTATTGGCACGGATGCCCCACCTGCTATCCCAGTTTACAGACCGAAACTCATCCTCATCGGACCCAATATACTTACCAGCAATTACACGAAGAAACCCTCAGAAGGACTTGCGATTTAGAAAACATGGGGTATACCGTCCGTGGTATCTGGGAGCACGATTTCGATCAGCAAGTGCAAAAAGATGAGAGTTTACAGCAATTTGTAGGAAACCTGGACATTCCGGATCCTTTGAAACCTCGAGAAGCCCTGTACGGAGGTCGGACCAATGCCACCCGATTATATTGTGAGGAAGGGGACATGAGATACGTGGACGTTTGTTCCCTATACCCTTACGTGTTGAAACACAGACCTTTTCCCGTAGGGCATCCCGAGATCATCACAGACGAGTTCCAGGACGTGAGAAATTATTTCGGTCTCATTCACTGTCGGGTCTTACCTCCCCGAGACCTCTATCACCCCGTATTACCTTATCGGACGGGAGGCAAGTTATTATTTCCCTTATGTCGCACGTGTGCCGAACGACAGGACTCTACTTCTCAAGATCGATGTCAACACACCGACCAGGAACGTAGTCTCACGGGTACTTGGGTGACGACCGAATTACATAAAGCCCTAGACATGGGATATACCTTAGATCGAATCTACGAAGTGTGGCATTTTAAAGAAAGCAGTCAAGAGTTATTCAGATCTTACATCGATACCTTCCTCAAGATCAAACAGGAAGCGTCCGGATTTCCCCCCGACTGTAAGACCTCAGAACAAGAACAAGATTACATTCGACAAGTGTTATACAAAGAAGGATTCATGATGGACATTCTCAGTATCGAGAAGAATCCAGTGAGAAGAACCATTGCTAAACTCTTTTTAAATTGTCTGTGGGGAAAATTTGCTCAACGCTTGTTATTACCCAAAACCAGATACTTGGACGAAGAAGAGGAATTACAGCAACTCTTACAAGATTCGACTCTCGACATCAAGGGCATGCAACTCTTAGACAATAAAGAGAACCCCAATGAAGACAAGATGCTAGTGAATTATCAAGACAAACAGGAATTCGTCGAAGAATGTCCCTTTGGAAACGTGGTCCTGGCTTGTTTTACCACCGCGCATGCCCGCTTACACCTCTACGAGACTTTACAACCTTTAGGAGATCGGGTCCTTTATTTCGATACGGACAGTATCATTTACCAACATCGGGAAGGAGCCTTTAATCCTACCTTGGGTAATAGTTTAGGAGAATGGACCGACGAATTAGACGGGGATCACATCATCAAATTCATGTCGGCAGGCCCTAAAAATTATGGTTACCGGACGGCCAAAGGAACCGAGGTTCATAAAGTCAAAGGAATCACTCTCAACTATCGTACCTCCCAGATCGTGTCCCTAGAGACTTTAGAAAAAATGCTCAAAGGAGAAATAGAGGAAGTCACAGTAACTTATCCCAACAAAATCCAGAGGACTCGTGATCATGAGCTCGTGACCAAACCATTAGAGAAAAAGTATAGAATTGTATATGATAAGAGACAATTGTTACCCTCTTATAACACTTTACCTTATGGTTATTGATATGTTGATATGTTTGACTTTTTGAATTAAAAAATTGAATTGTTGTTTTTCTTCTTCTCTATAAAAAGGGGAGCAATACAAATCAAAAGTTCAGTCATGACTGAGAAATTGCTAGATCAACCCATGCGTTATCCCCAGTATGCTCGGCTCTCAAAGAGAGAAGCTACTTTTGAGCAGGGATGGCCAGAACCTCTCTTAGGAAAAATACCAGACCTAGCTCGAGCCGGGTTTTACTACAGGGGAGTGAAAGATAACGCTACCTGTTTTCATTGTGGAATGATTTTTAGTAATTGGGATCCCGAGGACGATCCTTGTGTAGAACATGCTTATTGGAACCCCAATTGTCCTTACATCAATCTGTATAAAGGACGAGGATGGGTGATGAATGTGTTTATTGCGTGTTTAGATCAGCAGGGATATAAACCTTTACCTGAGATTAAACCTCTACTGAACCCAGAACCAGACGTCCAGGCTCGAGGAAAATGTCACATTTGTTTAGACGAGGAATTACAAATCGTTTTTCTACCTTGCGGACACGTATGCTGCTGTGCTTTGTGTGCTCCTTCCTTTCAGTTTTGCCCCATCTGTCGAGGCGAGATTCAACAGTCCAAACGCCTATTTCTGTGTTAACTATAAATAAGACCCTGAACCCAACTTTTCCTTCATTGATCAACATGTATTCCGAGGAGACACCCCTCCCTTCTTTTCAATTGAAACACGAGTTTACCATGGTGGTTGCTGGACCCTCGAAATCGGGCAAAACAGAATTCGTCAAGACATTAGTGAACAATTTAGACTGGATCACCCCCATGCCCGAAAAAATCGTCTGGTGTTATCGGGAATGGCAACCCGCTTACACTTCTTTAAAAGAGAAGGTATCTTTCATCCGAAATATTCCAGAAGACGACGAGAAATTAGTAGCCAATTTGAGTGTGCCCCATTTACTCATTTTTGACGACATGATGGGAGGAAAAGCCATCGAATCTATTGTGGATTGGTTTACCCGTAAAGCGCATCATCGGAATACCAGTGTGATTTACATCACTCAGAATTTATTTGATCGAGCTGCCTCTCATCGCACCATTAGTTTGAATGCTCATTATTTAGTCTTATTCAAAAATCCCAGAGACAAATCTCAGATCAGTGTGTTGAGTCGTCAGCTAGCTTTACCTCATTTGATGTCTGCTTATCAAGAAGCCACCCAGGTACCTCACGGATATCTTCTCGTGGACTTGAGTCCCCATACCCCAGACCAATACCGATTGAGAAGTCGAATGTTTGAAATGTTGACTGTACACATGCCTCAAGAGTATAAATAAAAGTGTTTCATACTCTTCTGGGTCATTGTTCATTTCCATCTCATCATGGCTCCATCAGCCAAGAGTAAATTAGTGAGAACCTTACGACGTTTACAGCGGGAACGAGATCCCGCGAAGCGAGCCCATTTAATCGAATTAGGGCGTAAAGCCTTATTGAATTGGTTTGCCATGGGAGCTCGCAATTTAATGAAAGGGGTCTTACCTATCAATAAACAGACCCAAAAGTTTATTAATAATCATCGTCAAGATTTAAAGATCATAGCCGATCAATCGGCCAGTGATGAAGACAGAAAAACAGCTATTTTAAAACGCGGAGGAGCTGGATTTCTAGGTGGAGTCATCATTCGTCATTTATTCAAATGGAATAGTCCTAAAAAACGCCGGGTTCGTCGTTTAAAGAGTGTAGTGGTAAGAGTCGATAATAAGAAACAAAGAGTGTTTCCGGATTGGATGGTCCGTGTCGGAGGAGCAGCTCAAAAGAGCAGAAAAAAGAAGAAGAAGAGAAAAGCCCCTCCCAAGAAGAGAAAAGAGAAAAGCCCCACCCAAGAAAACAGGGGCAAAAGGCGAAAATCTGCTCCTCAAACTCTAGCTCAACGTAAAGCCATGCCCGAAAGTCTAAAAAACGAAATCAATCAGTATTATAAGGAACAAAGACAAAAGACCATAGGAGAATTGCTCAAGAAACAAGCAGAACTGAGAATGGATCGTGCTATGGGACCCATAGGCAGTCAAAGAGCCAGCGATTTAGAAGTGTTTCCTCGAGTGAATGTGGGCATTCCCTCCTCCTCCCCTGGAATTAAAGTTCCCATTCATGTCCCTAAAATCACACGCTTTCAACCCTTGACGGCCTCCACCCCTCAACTTCCTAAAGGTCTGAGATATAAATGTCGATATTGTGGAAAAATTTATGTCAGGGAGAAAGCGAGAGATAAACACGAGAGCGACAAACACGGAGGGTATGCCCCTCCTTAAGAGAGACACTATAAAAGGGAGTGACATGAGAGACTTCTCTTCATTGTTTTCAAAGATGGCCAAGAAGAAAAAGGGATGTTGTACGCGATTAAGAGCGCATGCCCCTCTTTTAAGAGTGTTATCAGACCCTCACTATTCCTCGTCCTTAAAAACGGGGATTTTAAAACATTGTTCTGGAGATTGTATTATGAAAATTTGTGAGATCGTCTACAACCTATTAAAAGGGGTGTTACCTCTCAATTCGGCTCAGAAACGAAAACTAGCTCCAAAGAAACACATCTTAAGGAGACTGGTCCGACCCCAATCCATACAGAAACGACGAGCTTTATTAGTACAACAAAAAGGAGGAGGTCTTTTACCCCTTTTAATCTCAGCAGCACCTTTACTGTTGGATGCCGGACATTCTGTCTATAAAGCCATTAAAAAGAAGAGGAACAACAAGATACAAAAATGAGTCGTAAAATGGTGTTAGTACCTGAAGTTCTGTTGAATGAACTCAAAGGAAAACTCCCCAAACCTCCGGAATTTCAATCTACTCTGAGTATAGGTCAAGAATTGGACCAGATTACCAGACGTGAAGATTTAACTCCAGAAGAAAAAGTGGCTTTATACGGTCAAGAACTTCATCGGTATAGGAATTATTTACAACAAGCGAGAGAGCCAACGACTACCAAAAAAACCCCTGCACCCGTAGCCCCAGCAGCAGCAGCCCCAGCCCCCGCAGCAGCAGCAGCTCCAGCAGTAGCAGCAGCAGCAGCAGCACCAGCAGCACCAGCTCCAGATCCCGAGATCGATCAACAAATCATTCAAAGCGTGAATAAACCCATGCAAAGAAAAGCTGAATTATTATTAAATCATTTAAAGAAAACCAACGTCTTGACTTGGAATAAAGACGGAGAAATCAGTTATCGAGGTCAAAAAGTACCCGATTCTAACATTGTGGATTTAATGGCTGAAAACATGAGAACCAGATCCTTGAAAAATCGTCCGGTGCCTAAAGGATTAGATGAATTTGCTCAAGCTTTAAAAGAGACCCGTACTCCCATGGTTTACTTGCAAAATCAAGACCTTATAAAAGCCATGCAGAAACCAGGAAAAATCAGTACTCCTAAAGGGGCTTTGAGTGACGACGACGACGAAGAGAAGAAGAGAGCGGATTTCATGATGCTTCCTCTTCTTTTTTGACCCCTATTAGTCGACCTGTAGAAGAGAGATCAAGGGTGTTAAAAAAATTCACACCTAAATATAGTCCCTATCGAGCCCAAAAGCAATTAAAAGCCCAAGAAGAAGCCAAGAAGAAGAAATTAGAACAAATCGAGGAAAATTGGCTTCATTTGCCTAAGACATGAAGAAGAAGAAGAAGAAGAAGGAAGTAGAAGACATTTTAACAGAGATTTATTACGATCCCAAGAGAGGGTATGGAGGCATACAGACTTTGTATCGTCAGGTCAAAAGTCTGGGGCATAAGATTTCTTTGAACACCATACGAGAATGGTTAAAAGAGCAAGATACCTATACCTTACATAAACCCATTCATAGAAAATTCCGGAGACAACAGACCAGAGTGACGGATATAGACGAACAATGGCAATTAGATTTAGCCGATGTGTCCAGTTTAAAGAAACACAATGACGGCTATACTTTTTTATTGTGTGCCATTGACGTCTTATCTAAATATGCATGGGTGGTGCCTTTAAAACAGAAAACGGGGAAAGAAATGATTCGAGGATTACAAGAGATTTTCCGACAAGACGGTCGACGTCCCGTCCGCATTCAATCGGATCAAGGCAAAGAATTTACCAATCGAGAATTCTTACAGGCGTTTAAATCCATTCATTTCTTTACCACTCGCAATACGGACACCAAAGCCAGTATCGTGGAACGATTTCAGAGAACCCTCAAAGCACGCATGTGGCGGTATTTCACTCGGAATAAAACCAGACGGTATTTAGAGATCTTACCGGATTTAGTGTATGCTTACAATCATACTTATCATCGCAGTATCCAAAGAACCCCAGCTCAAGTGAAGCCCTCGAATGTGTTAAAAGTCTGGAAAACTTTATATGGGGAATCATCACCTAAACCAAAACCCCCCAAGTTTAAAACAGGAGATAAAGTGCGCATCAGTAAAGCTAAACGCACTTTTGAAAAAGGATATTTACCGAACTGGACCACGGAAATATTTACCATTGCTCAACGAGTCCCCGGTCGGTATCCTTACGTGTATCGAGTACAAGATTATAACCAAGAGGAATTAGAAGGGACTTTTTACGAGAAAGAATTACAACAGATCATTAAAAAAGACGACGTGTACGAAGTGGAGGAAATCTTGGGGTATAAAAAGCGACGAGTCGGGAAGAAAATCATTCAAGAAGTCAAAGTCCGGTGGAAAGGATATCCCCCTAGTTTCGATTCATGGATTCCCCAAACGGATCTCATCAAATAACACCTCATTGGAAATGTTGTGGAGAGAATATTCCTCGAGAAGAAATTGTGTATTTTGCACAATTATTCATTTGTATTTCCCTCATCATCACCAGTGTGGTCATGTTAGCTTTACACGATTCTAATCGAGAATATTGGATGGTCTGTGTGAGTTCTTCGGTCGGTTACATCATGCCTAGTCCTACCATGATACATCAAACCCCTAGGGTCAAGAAGACGAATTCACCCAGTTAATCCTGGAATCTAAAAATAGATACACCCCTC